ATTACACTGTTTGTTGATGTACACAAATAAACTACTAGTCTATATGTTTTTCTTCTTCTATTAATATATATTTCTCATACGCCTCTTGGTAGAATTTCTTCTCTCATTCATCAATAAGGTTGTATGATCTTGGAACATGGATTCAGAAAGGATAAGAAAAGGAAAAACAAAATAACATAAATATCTTAGTTTCTAAATGAGTCCTTAAAATCAAAAATTAAAAATACCCAAAAAGGCACGTGAGGACCACGAAGAATGCTTCTTCTTCCTCCCCTCCCATCAAGTGGGTTCAACCAAACAGAATTAAACGAACGAAATATCTATCACCCTTGTCCCGTGGCATAAGGGTAAGTTTGAGAATTTCAATATTCTAGGTTCGTTTGGCAACTTAATTTTTGGATTAAAAATACCATAAAAAATAAATAAAAAAAAAGAAAGCTCAAAAGTCAGTAAAAGAGTAAGAAAAAAAATTATTAAAATAAATCAAAACACTCAAAATTAACGTTTTTTATTACAATTAAAAATACGGTTGATTTTCAAACCCAAATTTGTTTGTACAACTCATAAAAATTTAATTTTTAAAATACTAATTTTTTTTAAAATTATTGAAAAATCAATTTTCAAACCAGCCTAATAATAATATGTTTATATTTATATTATTTTATTTTATTTTTGTGTTGGAATTTTAAAGATAATTGTGAAAACTGATGTTTGGAAGGAAATAATAAGCCTATACACCTCTATCGGGCTAATGTTATGAATTCATTGTTTTAATTAAAATATAATTTGTCACATACATATTCAACACGACGAGGAGGCTGGGACGAAGGCTCACCATGTTGATCGCCGGTATTTTCTTTCTAATTGGTGTGGCACTGAATGCCTCAGCTCAGAATCTTGCAATGCTCATAGTTGGAAGGATCTTGCTTGGCTGTGGAGTTGGTTTTGCTAATCAGGTTTGTTAGCTAATTTGACTACTATTTTCAATTTTTTTGTTGGTTATTGTATATTTGTTGAGGGCATTTTTGTAATGTCACGTCGTGGACTAATGTTTAGTTGGTGAAATGAGGGGTGTTAAATATACCATGAAGGTTCTCTCTCACCAACATTTCAAGAGTTATCTTATAAGGGGTATCAATGCATGTGATGGGCATAAAGAAATATTTTTTTAATATTGTTTAGAACTTCCCTTAATTGATACTTCATACCTAATTTAACTTTGATTTTTTTGATCCCACTTTCCATTTTTGTGCAATTATGGCCTCAATCATGTACAAAAAATTTGTCATTTCCTTTTAGGGTCATCTTAATGACAGTTGTAAGTAATTTACGTTAAGTTTGAATCATAAATTTGAATAAAAATTAAATTGTGTTTGAATACATTTTACTCATTTTTTCTCTTTTCTTTTGAGATTCCTATTTAAATATGCACAAAGAGATTTTATTTGTACATTTTGCTGATTTTATGGGCTTTGATAGTAGATGATGATTTGCTGGTTCCTTCATTTTTGTCAAATTTCAGATTTGATGAGTGTATTTTTTTTTTAATAAATTTTTGAATGAATTTATTTACAGGCAGTACCACTTTTCCTATCAGAGATAGCACCGACAAGAATACGTGGAGGACTTAACATTTTATTCCAACTTAACGTAACCATTGGCATTCTCTTTGCCAACCTTGTTAACTACGGCACTGCCAAGTAAGTCATTCATTTTATAATAATGGTCCCCCCCAAGTAAAAATCATAATCAATTTTTTCAATTTGGCATCAATTTATTTAAATTATTTTTATATCATAAGTTGTATGCAAAAATGCTTTACATATTCTAACACAAAATCAAAATAAATAAATGAAGTTGTGTCAATTTAATCATTATAATTCTTATTGCATCTATTTTGTCCTTAAATTTAACACATTGTATCAGTTTAGTTTAATTGATAGTGCACATTTTAAATTAAACTAAAATCAATGAGTAAAATTATTCATTTACTCTTCTCAAAGTGATTGAGAAGTAAACCATACAATTTGAAATGGTTTATCCCCTTTTAAATGAACTATTTGCTTTTCCTTTTTTCTTTTTTTGTGTCTAATCTAATTTGTTAGTGAATGCTCTCAATCGCATTAGATTGACACAACATGAAAAAATTAAAGGCAAAATTGATACAATTGAAATTATATAAATCAAATGAACACATGAGATAAATTACACGAACCATTTGTATAATTTGTCTCCAAAAAATTCCCTTGGCAAATTGATAAGTTGCACTAATTAAACAGAATGGAGAGATTATTCAGATTAATCTCTGTTTCCCTGTAATTTTGGTTGTTTTGTTTTTATACCTTAAAATAGAAGTATTTATAGAGTATGATCTTCAAATTGATTGGGCATTAACTGTACATGTGCGTCCATATACAGTGTCACAGCTGGTTTATGAGATGATGTTTGCAAATGTTGATAGGAATTAAACAAACAATTTTTGAGTCCAAAATCCTTAGGTTTGTGTTGACTTTTCATGCCTAACTTAACTGCCATATTCTCCAATAATAGGGTTGGGCTGTGACACAAGGGTCCCTCTTCAGTGCCTCAAAGTCATGGCAGGCTGGTCCACCTTTTGAAATATCTAACTTAACAAAGATTTCATATATATGGATATTTTTAGTGTAATTGTTTTTAAAGTTAAAATTTGGTAATTAAAAAATATTAATTAATTTTTTATTTACTTCTTAGTAATCATTTTTATTTTTTTAAATTTATTTTAGTAAATTTTGCATCTGATTAAAATATATATATACATATATATACAAAACATGACTTGTACCAAATAAACAAGCAAGACTTAAACATATTCAAACAAAATATCACATCTAACTCCATAATCATTTCACAAATATCACATCCAACCACAAAAAAACCCAACTATCTTTCCAAACACCAAAATTTTTTTCTCCAATAATATCCTACAACTAAAAAAACTTACATAAAAATCCACTTCCCAAACACCCACAATAGGTTAGTGGTAGGTAAACCCAGACTTACATATGTTTTAGGCTTCTACCACTACCCTACAAGTGTTTTATTTGGATAGCCAAGGATTAGGTGGCAAGGAATACCAAGTAGAAAAACCTTTTTATGTAGATTAACCTTCCCAAGATAAGATGAAGGCTTACATAGTAAATGAGAAACTTCAATTTAAAAAGGAGAGAGAAAAAAAAAATCTAATAAAAATTCATTTATGTATAACAATTTTTTTATTAGATTTTTATATATATAAAAAAAAGGCATAATAAATAAAAAAAAGATTGTTATAAAAAAAAAAGACATAATATTTTTATAAAAAAAATTGTTATACATAAATGCATTTTTATTAGATTGATTTTATATTATTTTATTTTATTTATTTTATTTTTTTATTTTTTTGTCTCAAGGAACAAAACACAGATTTTACATGTATTTTTTTTTTTTAATATGACTTACTATTTGTATGTTCAGTAATAAGAAAAATAAATTGCCTTCTGAGATGAATCTCAATTGCACAATGTTTTTTTCTGGTCCATTCCATTGCTGTATTTCTAAACTATAATTTTTGTTTCCCTTGCAACCACAGGATCAAAGGAGGATGGGGTTGGAGGGTTTCACTGGGTTTGGCCGGAATTCCTGCTATCCTCCTAGCCGTGGGAGCCCTCTTGGTGGTTGACACCCCCAACAGCCTCATCGAGCGTGGCCATCTTGATGAAGGTAAAGCGGTGCTCAAAAGGATACGCGGCATTGACAATGTTGAACCTGAGTACTTGGAGCTTGTCGAGGCCAGCCGCGTAGCCAAACAAGTCAAGCACCCCTTCAGAAACCTCCTCAAGAGGAGGAATCGGTCCCAACTCATCATCGCTGTGGCCTTGCAGGTTTGTTCTTCTAACAATTCTCTATACTAGTTTCCTAGTTCAAAAACTATGCAGTTGAGAGTGTGTCAATCCATTTGTTTAACATAACATTAGTAGTGTTGGCACACGTTACTTGTGCTCGAGTAAAACAAATAGATAAGCAGTTATGAATTGAAACAATTAAATAAGATTAGAAACTGTTTCAAACAGTTGACCGTATGAGCCGACTTTGTGTACACTATCGTTGTGTTTAGTTGGAAAATTTGAAGAAGGATTTAGAAAGAGAAATAGAAAATATAGGTAAAATGTAAATAAAATATACCTATATTTCACATAATTTCACACACACTTTTTTTTTTTGCTTTTCCTTTCTAAATTTGTCCCAAAACGTCGAACTAGGGTATAGGTAGATAAAAAGGAAACCTCAATTGCAACAAATCAATTTAAAATTTGCAATACTAATTCATGCAATGCTTTCCACAGATCTTCCAACAATTAACCGGCATCAACGCCATCATGTTCTACGCCCCGGTTCTCTTTGACACGCTTGGATTCAAAAACGACGCCTCCCTCTACTCGGCGGTCATCACGGGGGCCGTCAACGTCATCTCCACCGTCGTATCAATCTACTCAGTCGACAAAGTCGGCCGCCGCTTCCTCCTCCTCGAAGCCGGAGTTCAAATGTTCCTCTCCCAATCAGTCATAGCCGTAATCCTAGGCTTGAAAGTCAAGGACCACACTACCGACCTCCACAGTGGCTACGCAATCTTTGTAGTCATCATGGTGTGCACTTTTGTGTCAGGCTTCGCATGGTCGTGGGGGCCGTTGGGCTGGCTTATCCCGAGCGAGACGTTCCCGCTCGAGACCCGCTCAGCAGGCCAGAGCGTGACGGTATGTGTAAACTTGCTGTTCACGTTTGTGATAGCGCAGGCTTTTCTTTCGATGCTCTGCCACTTCAAGTTTGGGATTTTCTTGTTCTTTTCGGGTTGGGTTTTGGTGATGTCTTTCTTTGTGTTCTTTTTGTTGCCGGAGACGAAGAGCGTGCCGATTGAGGAGATGACGGAGAAGGTGTGGAAGCAGCACTGGTTGTGGAAGAGGTTCATGGATGATGATGATGAAGTGGTGGTAGAGATTGGGAAAGTTGATGGTGCAGCAAAGAAAAATGGTCATAGCAATGGATTTAACCATGCGTCACAGTTGTAGAACTTGAAATTGAAGCTATTCAGGAACATTTTGTGGATACTTGAAATAAATAAATTGATACACATGTTTTATCAGTTATATTGTTGTATATAGTTTCGAATTAGTTTCCAAGACCATTAAGCTGTTTTTTTTTTTTAATAAATATATGTGTGGGTCCATATGTCTTGAGCTAGGAATGCAAATGACAGAAAATTTAAATAGAAAATATGAGATTTTACAGAATTTTCATACTTTTTTTCTTTTTTTTGTTGACAATATGTGGTAGTAACATTTTCAAAAATATAAATTATTTTGATGAGTAACTTTCGAAGAATTTTAGATGTTTGCAGCAATAAGCATGCTATCATATAAGCACATAACATCATACATAAGTCTCTAACAAGCGAGACAAACCCATTGTGGTACTGACCACTTTCCACGTACTCAAAGTATTCAAACCCGATACGCTCTGATACCAAGTTGTAACGCCCCCAAAATAATACAATAAAAATAATTCATATGCGGAATAAATATGAGAAACAACATACTTTCATATATCAGAGTTCACTGTTTAACAACCAGTTGTATGCCATGTAAGCTTACATCTTTCTAAGTTATTACTTGGTTACACAAATTGAGTCTCGCTCATTACAACTTAAGCCTTTGGCTTTACAAATAACAAATATACACACATAAAGCATAAATAAAAAGCTCTTGCTTTCTGAAAGTCCATCCACCTTATTGCCTTGGAGGAAACACCTCACGTACACCTGAAAATGATATTCCCGTATAGGGTGAGCTAATAGCCTAGTAGAAATAATCTAACATAATTTATGAAGTTTAGCAAAAGTATAAATACCACGTACATAAGCAATACCGATACTAAAACATTTAAAACTGCATATTCGTATGCCACTAACACCAAACCTCATTTCCATTTTCCTTCAATTCATTTCAAGTTCATATATGTACTACTCAATTCATAAGTTAAATTTATTATCTTTCAACAACCAAAATGAGACTACAATTCAATGGTTTTCCAACTATGCAAAATACCCATAAACACTTCAAACCTGCTCGAGCGTGGAAAGCCCCGCTCGAGCGTCAAATAGTCTTTCCCGAGTTATTCTTGACCACCAAAGATTGAACAATACCAAAATTTTAAGCCTTTTGCCCTGCTTTCAAGACCATGTCGAATAGGCTAGCCTTTTGTGGGCTTTAATCAAGTCTCAAACTACATAAATCAACCCTTTAATGGAAAAAAAAAAACAGATAACAGATTCTTTAAAACTCAATTTTCCTAAAACAGATTCTAGAACAGAGTCAAAGAAATTTTCAGTCCTGCTTTTTTGTAAATTGTTTTGTGATCTGGAAAAAAAAAAGGAATGCTATGCATTTGCGAAAACTGGTTCTTGAAAGAAAAAGAAACCCAAAAAAAGAAGAAGGGAAAAAAAAAAAACCAATCCTTGAAATACAATCTTAGACAAATTTTTTGAATTCAAAATTTTGAATTCCAAAGGAAACAAAAACAATTAAAAAAAAAATCAAATTTTTTATGGATTTCATCTACGGTAATCCAGAAAAATGAAAAGAGAGTCTAAAATAAAGCAAGAGGCAATGCGTTTCGTGCAAATTCTTGGAAATTCAGGGCAACAGAGAATTCGTAACTCCAAACAATCAATCATAACATCTAAATTCTTTCTCAAATCAAGAAATTTAAACACCAACTTGCATACCCAGAATCTTAATTATATGTAAAGGTGTAGAATTGCATACCCAGAATCATCAGGAAAAATTCTCGAAATCTTAATATTCTTTCGAGAACCCATGTAAAGCTCCTTCAAACTACACACCAACTTGTTTTCCACTGGAGCCACTTTCCGATTAGTACATGTAAACATTCAAGCCTAGGGCTTTATTTGTATTTGAGTTAGAACTCATATTTTTGTGTCCAAGTGTTGGCTTGGAAAGATGTAAGCCCATAGGGCATTTAATTTGAAATTACATGTAATGTTTTCATTTAGTAATACTCTGATGATTGAGATAATGAATTGTTTTCTTTTAATATTGCATGCTAAGGATATATATATATAATGAGTTTATTTTGAGGGCGTTACAGATATTCAAATTGGTAATGATGGAAGTACAACGACTATAAACGGCTATAAATTCAAATGACTACAACAACTATAAATTCAAATAAATACAATGGCTATAAACGGCTATAATTTTTATTATATATACCAAAGTCTCTTATGTAAACAAGTTACAAAAAAACCTGAAAATATTCTTCGATCTATAATCACCTATATCTTTTCTCAGCAATTATACACTAAGCTTTATAGCTTTAAACTTATCTTTCCTGTGTGAGATTTACAGAAAAATCAAAGTTTCATTTTATATATCTATCTTTGAGAGATATTTATTGTAAGCTTTCTTTGAAAGCAAAAATACCATTTCATTTTGTAAAAGTGTTACAAACATTGTGTTCATGAAATCTTGAGAGTGATTGTGAATCACCTAAGATTTGCAAGGGTTTGGGCTTGTGAAGTCTGTGTAAAATCCATGGAGGATTGCTTCATTTGTAAAGAGGTTGCTAGCACCCCTGTGAAGCTAGAAGATAGTGGAAAATCTCAAGTGAAGCTTGAGGAGTGGATGTAGGCTTGGTTGAAGCCGAACTACTATAAATCTGTTCATCTCCTCTTCTCTAATCTCTTTACTTTCATACTACTGCTATAGCTATCTAATATTCATGTGTTAATCATTTGATTACCCTGTATGTTAGTTATACTTCATTGTTATTCTGCTTGATCATTTACTGCTAAGTTCATCATTGTGCTTGTTAATAATTTGTTGTACTAGTAGTTAATTTTATTGTGGTATTATTAATTTTATTGGGCGGGAACTATATAGATCTAAGCCATTGATACATATCAGGATTGATATTGACCATTGAATCAAAATATATCTCACACACATTTTATATATTTTCAAAAAGCCTTCTCTCTTATTACATAGATGTTTATAAATACAATGCATATGTATATTTGTTTGGGAGAAGAAAGGGGATGGATTCCATTTAAATCAACTTGGCCAGAGTGTCCTGGGTGAAAGACCCGAAATTTCATATATAAATGGGTGTCGGTTCCTTTGGACGAAATATCCGTAAAATGGCAAGTTTGAAGTGTTTATGTGTGTTTTGCATAAATGGAAAACCATTGAGATGTAGTGTCATTTTGGTTGTTGAAAGATAATGAATTTAACTCATGAATTGAGTAGCATATATGAACTGGAAATGATTTGAAGGAAAATGAAATAAAATTGGTCTTAGTGGCATATGAATATGCAGGCCTTGTAAATACTTCCGTATCGATATTGTTTATGTACGTGGCATTTATACCTTTGCTAAACCTCATAAATTCTGTTAGATTATCTCTACTGGACTGTTGGCTCACCCTATACGGGAATATCATTTTCAGGTGCAGGTGAGATGTTTCCTCCAAGGCAATAGCATGGATGGATTTTCGGGGAGCAAGAGCTTCTTAATTATGTATTATGTGTGTATGTTTGTTATTTGTAAAGTCAATGGCTTAAGATGTAATGAGCGATACTCAATTTGTATAACCAAGCAATGACTTAGAAAGATGTAAGCCTACATGGCATTTAACTGGCTGTTAAAAGGTGAATTCTGATATATGAAAGTATGTTGTTTCTCATATTTATTACGCATATAAGTTATCTATATAGTATTATTTTGGGGGCGTTACAGTTTGGAGGATAATTTTGACTATTAAAAGTTCAATGAAATTTGAAGGTCCAAAAAATTTTAGTTAGGATTTAATAGAGTATAAGTTCATAAATTAAGTCTTGTCTATAAATGCCCCTATTTTTTATGTTATGAGACAATTATTATGATATTTTCTATCTAATTTGAAAAATAAATTAATTTTAAGAGTAAACTAAGAAAAACTAAAAACAAAAAGTAATTTACCTAAATAATAAGAAACATTTCGAAAAATAAAAATAACTAGATACTATTAAAGATTAATAAAAATTTTCTTCATTAATAAAGATTTTCTTTGCTGATAAAAATTAAAAAAATAAAATAAAATAAACTAGAGACTGTTAAAATTGCATGTTATGAGTAGGACCCAAAATACTAAATAATTAAAAATAAATAAATAAATAAAAATTGTATTTGAATTTTTTCTCTGTTTTGTGGGATTGGCTGCTCTTCGAAATCTTCGTGGATTGGCAATTTGGCAGGCAGATATCCGTTATTTTATTTTGTTTGACAACAAAATCCTGAAATTTAATGCAAACAATCTTTCTCTCTCCAAAATCTTTGATCGAGAGAGATAGAGTCGTAAACCTTCCTAAAAACCTCTATCTCTCACACAGAAACAAACCAATCTCTCCATAAAAAAAAAAAAAAATCATTGTTTGGAGGATAATTTCGATTATTAAAAGTTTAATGAAATTTGAAGGTCTAGAAAATTTTAGTTAGGATTTAACGGAGTATAAGTTCATAAATTAAGTCTGGTCTATAAATGCCCCTATTTTTTATGTTATGAGGCAATTATTACGATATTTTCTATGTAATTTGAAAAAAAAAGTCAATTTTAAGACTAAACTAATAAAAACTTAAAACAGAAAGTAATTTACCCAAATAATAAGAAACATTTTAAAAAATAAAAATAACTAGACACTATTAAAGATTAATAAAGATTTTCTACATCAATAAATATTTTTTCTGCTAAAAAAAAAAAAAAAAAAAAAAAAAAACAAAATCTAGAAAAAGCGGGAACTCGTCTATCCTCACCTCTCACCGCCATCCTCCTCCTCCCCCCCCCCGGTGTGGTCCTTTTAACATTTTTATTTTCCAATTTTCTCTTCTCATTTTCATTTCCCACCAAGATTAGTAGCTGGAATCTGTAACTTGCATAAATTTCAATCCCATAATTCTTGGTTGGATTAGGAACACACTTTTGGATTTGGTATGGCATCATCATAGAATTGTTGTAAAATTTACCCATCATCATTCCAAA